GATACGTTGAAGTTTTTGGTCACTCCAATCAGATTCCAGTTATCGTAAATTCACTGCATATATATATAAAGAGAGAAATATAATAGAATTAGAAACACAATAATATAGAATAAACACTTAATGGAATAAATGTTAAGGTCCTATTTAGGACACATTCCTTTACGACAGACATTTCAAAATAAAGAATAATTGTCTTAAGATAAAAATTACTCTTTGTAATGTATTGATTTCTTAAAAGAAAACATAATGCAATTATTATTAAGCTTAAAATAAAAGAAAAGGAAAAACAAACTTACTAAAATTAAGCAAAATTAAATGAAAAAACTAGTTAAAATTAGATTGACAAATCTAACATTCAACAAAAATTGCTAAAAAGAAAAGAATATAATATATGTGATTTAAGCTTTATTGTATAAAATAATTCTCAAAAATAAAAAATTAAAATTTAGTGCTGACATCTATGAAAAAAAAACACTCTAAGAATATCAATAATTTCAAAATTTAAGTAACAAAACCCATAATAGAAAAAAAGTTTATAAAACTCAGTTTATAAGAATAAATTTAAAAAATTATAAAATCACTTAAAAAAAAGTCAAATAAGCAAATAAGTAATACATGCAGGTTTTTATATACAAACAAACTAGGGGTAAACCATTTTTGACCTGTATGCATATATATATATATATATATACCTGCCCTGCTGAGCATATTAAAGAAAACATGGAAACATATGAATATACCTATTATTATTTTATCAACAAAACAATTACATTTAAAACATGTCTACACTAACACTTTAATTTTAAGTATAAAACAGAAATATTAAGTATTATTAACAAAGATGCAATAGTTATTATTTTCAAAAAAATAATACTTTAAAAATTATTTAGTCGAGCCAGTGCATGCCCTTCATGTTACTTTTAAATGATATTATAAAAAAAGAATAAGGTTACTTCACACAATAAAATATTTAAAATATTTTATTAATTTAATTATACTTAAAAATTTAAAATGAAATTAAAGCACTAAAATCTTTTTTTTAATTAAGCTTTCTTTTAATTAAAAAATAAAATTTCATAATTTGGCTTACTTTTGTTCTCACAACATTCTTGTCTAATTCAGCATCAGGCAGTTTATCCATATCAGTTTCATCAAAACTAACTGGTGACTCACTTCTTCCCTGTGCAAGGCTATTTAATGAGCGAGAATTGCTCGGTACAGATGTGCTCTCTGATTCTGTCAACAAACATTAGGAAATTAATTTTTATGAATCTTTCAGTTTCTTTTTAAAATGTGTGCATTTACTTGAAGAGTTATAGAATTTAACTTTTAGCAGAGAAAATTCAATTTTAATTGAAAAAATAATTGAAAATTCATACAAAACAACAATTGTTCCAACAAAACTAATAATTGGGAGCAAAAATGTTTTAAGTTGGCAAATTATTTCCAGATGAACGTAAGAAAAAGTGCAAAAATAATGTTAAAGGCCCTGCATACTTAATACAGTAGGCTTCGCAATATCCAGCTTGTGATTATCCTGATTCTGTACTATCTGGCCTGGTAATAAATTAGGAAAATAGGAATGCATATGAATTCAAAATTTAAAAAATATTTATATTAGTTTAATATGCAAAAAAAACAATTAATATGTAATATAACTGTTTTTATATCACACAAGAGAAACAATTTTAGAGAAATAAAATAAGTTATTACCTGACGAAGTACCATAATTCTGAATTGAAGGATTTTCCACATCTTAAAAAATACAGAAGTTAATCAATCACATATGTTTATAACAAAATAGTCACTTATCAAAACAATAAACACAAGACTTATCTTATAAAAATTTATTGAGTATATTTAATCATTGGAATAAAATTCCAAATAACATTTTAAAGCATTCAAATTAATTTACTATAGGCTTTTAGTAAATGTGGATACATAGAAATTAGTATTTTAAAAATAATGCCTGTGTAATACTATTTTAATAAATCAGATACAACAAAATTGTTAACTCTCAGCCTTCTTTACCTCCTATTTAACTGTAATTAAACCAACTATTAAGTGAAAATAATTTTAATTTATTAAGTTTAGAAAATTGTGTTATATATAATACAGTAGAACTCGAATTTAACGGCATCAGGGAATAACGAATTCTCGTCTTTAACATCTTTTAGCTTAGTCCCCTTTAATTTCTAAGATGAATAATATTCACAGAAAAACTTGGTATTTGCAGCATTATCTACAACTATTTCTCAGAAATACAAGTTGGAGGCTTGTTTAACTTCTAATAACGAACACAAAAGAAAAATAAATGTGTTACAAGCTATAAATTTAATATAGTTTGCCACGAAAAAAGTTTCTAAAGAATGCATTGTTCAGTAAAGATAGTTTTACATCAGAACAGCAGGCCAATACGGACTATATGAAGTATTGACAATGAGATAATGATCTGATGACTAGTGAATAAGAGGTAATTTCAATATCTGAAATTATAAGCGGAATCTAGTAATGAAGAAGAAGACTGTGAATCATCAGATTCTCAGCCATTATTAAATGAAGCGGAAATTATGCTGCAGAGACTGAAAATTTTCTTAAAGGTCATGAAGAACAAGAGAAAGATAGAGATAGATACCTTGGAATTATAGAAGAACAACAAACGTCACTTGTCATCCTGATTTCATTTCAGGAGGAAAAAAGTCTGACTATTAAAGAAAAAAATTTAATTCCTCACGAGGTGGACAAAGACGTGAAAAAAAAAGGATGTTGCTTTAAAATTAAGTATTACGCCAAACAGCTTATCAACCATAATAAAAATTCATGATAATATATAAAATTATAAATTATCAAATTCTTCTTCAAAAGATTTAAAAACATTTGTCTATGAAGATGCAGATGAGACAGTTTTGAAGAGGATATGCGCAATGTCTGATAAAAAATTTTCTATCTCTGGACTTTTCATTCTTTTCATAATTTGTGAAAGCTTTGGGATTCGACGAATTTTGAGGAAGCAGTGGAGGGCTTTATAAATTTAAAAGATGACACAGAATTGTAGCAAAAATAATATCTGCTGAAACTAAAGATGTGGATGACAAAGATTGTGAAAAGTGGATAACAGAGACACGGATAAAATTTTTGAAAGACATCTTTAATGCAGATGAGACGGGTTTATTTTTAAATGTTTTCCTCAAAAAAAATTTTAACACTAGAACAGTTAGATTTTGAACATACCTAAAGCTGCCATTTGGGGTCAATTTGACCATTAAAGAAAATTGATGTCATTCCAAAGTAATTGTTTTTTTAATTGATGAATATTGCCAAAAAAAAAACAATATACAAAGGCTTTTAAAGATTAAAACTATTTTTTTGTGAACTTAATGACAATTTAGTGTTATATTGTATTATAGATTATTCTTTCACAAAAGGGCAAGTCATACAAAAACAAACAAAAGATACGAATATAAACAATACACATTAGTAAACAACAGGTTTTACATCATTAGTTAGACATTAACGCTGGCATACAATAGTAAGTTCGTGTGATGTGAAAGTGACAGCAAACCATCGAAAAATTGATTTCTAGCATCTTTCATAGACATCAGAAATTTTATTCTGACTTTTACGGTGTATTTCTATTATTTAAAAATTTTATAAATTAGAAGCTATCTGATGAGCAAAACACTAATTAGAAGCTCTTCTACAGCACAAGACTAAATTCACAATGCGTAATTAGGGTAACAAAATATTTTTCAAAAACTATCCAAGCATTGAAGGTAGCAATATCAGAAACGTTGAAAAATAAATGTGAAAATAAATTGCAAGTTTCACATGGTGCAGAATCATTTTTTAGCATCTTGTTTGTCATTCCATTTTTACTGTAGTAAGTGTAGTACTTGGCTTCTACTCTATGCTGTCGCCTGCAAACACATTCACATAAATGATATTTAGAATTATGGCATTCTTTTTCTTTTGCACCTATACATTGAATGTTTTGTTTCTATTGGCAATACAAAAGACTGAATATTATGGCAAAGAAGTGACACTCAAAATATAATGATTTTTTTTTGTTCAGATATATAATCCAATTATGTTTGTATTTCTTTTTTAACAAAAAAATTATCAACAAGATTTACTAAGATAAAAAGAAATTATGCTTAGTCACATGTGCTTGGTTTCAAACTTAGAGCAAAATATTTTTTTAAAGTTGTCATTCATTCAGAGCCGTTTCTGAACTCGCACAAATGAAGATAACCATTCAAAAAAATTTTTTAACTGCAGTTGAAAAGTTGAAAACAAAGTTGAAAGTCAGCTGAAAACAAAAACTTGAAGTTAAAGTCATGTGGCTTGTTCATTATATGATAAACTTGCATTTTTATTTACTAGCAATACCTATTTACCAACAGTTCTGTCTTGAACAGGATTATAATAAAAATAGCTGTTGGTAATCAGGATGTACATGGTTTCCTTCAGACACAGTAACACATTTGTAATTCAATAATAGTTTCACTAAGCTACTTTGAACATGGAATGTAAGATAAAATGTAATTCAACAAAAATTATTATTTGAAATTTTTTTTAACACTCTAGACCCTGATTTCTGTTCTACAAATCATCTTCATAAGGTTTAAAGTTTTGCAAAATCGAAAAGCAGCATAAAACTTTTTTTAAGAGGATCAAAATGATCCCTTTTGGCTGTTTTAGGTATTTCTATGATCATTTATTTCAATAATCTACAAAAGAGCATGAAATTTTTATACAGTATACTTGGAAACAACTCAGGAAAAATAAAAAAAAAACTTGGCTTTGAAGCTCACTAGTATCTTCTAAAACAACATAACAAAAAGCAAAAAAAGGATCAAAATGACCCTAATGGCACTTCTAGTGTTAAAAATGAAAAATACTTAGGAGGTAAATATAACAAAGCAAAATTTACTGTCATGTTAGGTGCTAGTAAAACTGGACATCAGAAATTGAAACCATTAGTTATCAGAAAAAGCAAAAATTCAAGATGTTTCAAACATGCAAAATCTTTGGAGGTTAAATATGTTTTTATCAAAAAATCTTACATGACAGCAGAAGTTAGTGAAAAAGGGATTCAAAAGTTGGACAAATGTATGATTGCAGAGCATTGAAAAATATTACATTTTTTTACTTATCACTAAACACTACACCAAAACTGCAGCCAATGAATCAGGGGGTGATACAAAATTTCAAATTGCACTATTATAAGAGAATAGTGCAAAACGTTATCACTGCGCTTGAAAACAATCAATCCATATCAAAGATCAACATACAAGAAAGCATATTAGAAATGTCCAAAGCATGAAACTATGATGTCACAGATCATGCTACTACCTAATAACAGTTTTGCTGAAGATGGATTCTTTCTAAACAAGGAGAATGCGGAAATTACGAAGGACAATGATGATATTCCTTTAGAAAAACTTTAAAAAATGTGGATACAGATAAGAGAAAAAGAGGAAATTAATGATGATGAGCAGATTGGTGATTTTCTTTCACTTGATTCAGAAGTTGAAACCTCAGAAACGTTAGCTGTAAAAGATATTTTGGACAGTGTAAAGAATAAAAACAATACAGTAATGAATAGCGATGAAGATGGAAAAGACAGAATTGATCACGATGAAGAAATTAGCAAACCTTCAGATGATTAAATACTAAAATCATTTAAAACAATATGATGTGGACTACTATTTGAAGAAAACATGCCTGAAGAGGTTTCTGATGCATTGCAACAATGTGAAACGTATTATGAGAAAAAAACACTTTTTCAAGCAAATAACTCAAACAAAATTAACAGATTTTATCAGTAACGTAATTTAAAGACGAATTTCATGATGTATGCTAAAAAGTTTTTGTTATTATAAATGCGATAATGTCACTAAAAATTTATTATATTCATATAATATTATTTTTTTGAAATTGAAATTACAGTTTACTCCTGAAAAGTGTTTAGTTTAATTCTTATTTTCCTTGCAAATTTAACTTTGATGGTTAAGTAATAATAATAAATAGATATTAATTTACAAAATAAAAGAGTCTTAGTTATTTTGTTAGTTCTGTCTAGTCTACATGAATTTAAAATTTGTTTACTGTTGTTAAAAAGTGAATTTCTAATTAAAGAATTTTCCATATAACAAACCTTCTGCAGGATTTAGATGAAGATCCATTCATAGAGTTCGTTAAATAGGGATCAAACTGTATTTTTGCAGTATTTTATGTAAATAAAGCTTTAACAAGGTAAGGATATTTTATTAACTTAGCTCTCTGTAACTAACATAATTGTTTTAATGTTGATTTGAATTTTCAATGGTAAGATCAAATTATGCTTTTCAGTTTTTCAAACACTTCTTTTTCAATGGAACCCATAAAAGTAAATTAACTAGCAATTTCTTTTTTCCCCTCAATTACTTTTCCATTCTGTAACCATACTCATGATAGTTAATTGTAAATATAGATTATTTTAAGTTAAATAATAGCTTTATAGATTTTTATTTTGTAATTGTAAGACTGCTAATTTTTCTGATTAAAGTTAAACTATAAAAATAAGAAATAATTTTTCTTTTAAATTTATTTTAAATAATAATGTAAGGAAGATTTCATTGAACTCCAATTTATTGACTTTAAATTTAATATTTCATTACATATTAAGTTTATTAAAAGAAATATAGGTAGGTACCAATATTTGTATGACTGAAATTCAGCAATTTACGATACAAGAACATTTCAAATTTAGCTACGAACAGCATTCCACTCCGTTATTTACCATTTATTAATCTTTATTTCACTTAATAATTTATCAAAAATCAATTTTAGTGATTAATAGTGTAAATTTAACTAGAGTGTAAGATATGTAATGTTTTTTTTTTTCTTTTTTAATATTAGCTTGAAAAATAATGATGTAGAAAAATAATTGATACTACATGTTGATAACAAAAATTTAGATTCTAAATCTGTTATGTTTACTGTATCAGGTAATTAATTTTTTTATTTAGGTTTTTGAGCAATAGTAACAAAGAGGAACATAATGCAGATTCAAGTTTTTTGTATTTTTATTTTATATTGCAAATAAAAAATTGCACAACTGTTTTAAGTTTGATGTGCAAAAAAACATTCTAATGATAGCTAAAATTTCCTAACTAATAAATCGAATATTTAATTTTTCAAGAAAAATGTTCTAAATGACACTCTTATTTGAAAATAGCCCTACTATCGAAATTCTGGAATTTAAAATTAATGGCATGATATGTGTATTATACAGTTGACACTAAGGATTATATTACTCGGCAAAAAGTTTCAAACTTATTTGATAAAATTATGCTATGTGAAATTATAGCTTAAAATTAGAAAATGCAAATCATGAGATACATCTCAGTTATTTAATATACATTAATATTAAACAAGCAATTTTTAATAAACATAAGTTTAAAAACATAATTTTAAATAGTAAAGTTTAAGAAAATTAAAAATAAAGTATATTTACCACTTAAGTGGGAAAAACAAGTTAAAAGTTCCTTTTTAAAATCAAAAGACATATTATAAAAGTTTTGATAAATAAATCGTAACTATGTTAAAAGATTATAATGAAAAAGGCATACTAAAACTGCATGTATTTTCATTAGTCATAACAAACTTGTAATAATTTTAGAGAGTAAAAATTTATTTAATTTGCCGAATTACAATCAACCTACACAATTCTTTAACTCTTAATATAAATAATGATAAATAAATTGCATACGGTAGTGCATTTATCAGGTAGTGCATTTGAATAAAAATATTTGAAAGATAATAATGTGTTGCAATTAATTTCGCCAAAATAAGTAGTTCTATTTGCTATTGTAAAAAGAACAAGGTCCAATATATACTTAGATATTTACTTAGATTAATAAGATAAAGCTGATGCTACCTAATTATTATTGTAACAGAATCCAAAACCTGGCTTCTAAAAAAAGACAATTAAACAGAAAACAAATCTGCATCATGAATTTTTCTTATGAAACTATAGTATTTTATTTATGATAGAAAAATAAAAATCAAATAAGTGTTTTTGAAGCTTTGTTATAGTCACTATTTTAATAATTTTCATAATTTTTAAAAAATTCTCATCAAAAGTTCCCTGATCATCAGATTCTATTGTATTGAGTTTTGAATAAGTATTTAAAGAATAAAAATACAGTGAAAATTTTATGCATTACTTACTGACATTCTTTAATTCAGCAGTATTTCGCCTTCTTCTAAAACACAAAATAAAAATAATATTAATTAAAATTATCAAAGCTTAAAGAAAAGCAGCTTCGGTGATACACCATGAAAAAATATACAAATATTTTTTAAAAAAAGAAACAGTATAAATTGTTATAGCTATAAGAATGTTTAATTCTTGCAGCAAACATTTGAAAAAAAGCTAAAATTTAATAATTTTATCTAAAAAAATTTTAATTTGCTTGAATTTAATTACCTATTCAAATAATTTGATAGGTTAAATTTTTTTCTGTTGAAGATTTTATTTTTTTTACTTGTCTATAATACATAATAAACAAATTATTTATTGTTTTCATATATTTGTATATCATAACCATAACTATAATATGATCATCAGTGATCTAATGAATTATTTAAGAATAAGTGAAAACTTTAAGAAATAATGATAAGAGCATTTCACAAAATGATATGCATATTTATTAAACATTCTGTTTGATTTCTTTTTTAGCCTAATAGGTTGGTCATTTTTTTTGGAGGAGGGGATAAGAGCTAAGCATTATTCATGATTTAACATCACTTACATAGAAAATAATTCTTTTATTGAAAAGAGAAGGTTGTTACAACAGTGAAAACATAAAAACTCACACATATTTTTTATGCATGGCAAGAAAATAAAAAATTATGAAACTATTTGCGCATGAAAAAAATATATCATGCGCTAACCACTTCAAGGCTGTGATCATGCAATTCTCCCTTCATAGTTACAGTATCATGCATGAAACTGTGATGCACAAGGTCAATAACATCATGCGCATCAATGATTAATTTTGCTCATGAATGGAAACAGAGTGTTGCTAGGACAATGTAATTTTATTTACAATTACCATGTTCAATAGATTTTAATATTGAAGATACATTGAATTTATATATTTTTCCTTGTTAATGATGTATTTTATAACTGAAATAGATTATGCTTATAACTGTATGTCAACTTGCAGATTGCTGTAAAGGCTAAATATAATCGTGTTGTCAATTTGCTTTGAAGTTATTCATTCTATACCACATACTGTAGGAAGTCTAAGTGATTTCCCTTTCAACTGCAGACCTAGACATAATTATTTAAACATTGCAAAGTATTTATCTGTATGAAAAAAGGTTTGAGCATTTAAATATAACTGATTATCTGATTTGACTTTATATTAAACATGGAAAAAAAGCAAATGAAAATTTAAATTTATAACTCAAGATAATGTAAATTTATAAATAAACAAGGTGGCGGTAAAACTATCAACTTTCTGGCAATATAAACCTAAGCTATGATTTGTGCAATTTGAAGCACGATTTACTAATAGCAATATTATTTGTGATTTAACTAAGTATAACATTGTTGTTGATGGCTACCAGAAGAATTAGTTTTGATCACAAACTGAAAGCTAGTATCCAGCTAGTACCAGGAAAAATATGGCACATTTGTCCAGTGTATCAACATTTAACTCAAACATTGATCATCTAGAATTTCATCTGCTTAAATCAAGAAGTAATGCCACAATTTTAATTGATATATTAATGTTGAGTGTGAAGATCATAGCATATTTGGATTTGATTTGGCATAGGTTAGCCAAATCTAAATAATTAGAAACTTCATTTTGTATGTTCTAGCACAAAGTGAAAAAAAATTAGTTGCATTATAAAAAACAAGAGTGATAACCATAAATATATTTCCCCAGCGCAAAACCCTACACTTAGGAAACTATCCTACTTATTTCTTAACTTCCACAATTTTACAGTGATAGCCTCATAAATTAGAAAAGTGAAAGATGCAACAAGTTTTAGGTATAGAAATTTTCAAAAACTTAAACAATGAATAGCAACTATTATATTATGTGTAACATAACACTAAATAAAATAAACTTACTTAACAAATAGAAAGCAACAAATAACAAAAGAGAATATGTAGAGTATGATATAAAACCCAAAGGCTCCAAAGACAGCTAAATAATACTGTTCATCTATAAATATAAGAAACAATACAAATTTAACAATCAAATACAAAATATAACATCTAACATTATGCCTCAAGTAAGTTTTGGATAATTGAGATTCATTGGTTTAATCATTCATTTTCAAAGTTCAAATGAATGAAAAATATATCATATCTATTCAACTTTAAATCTGATCATCAAAATTTAATATGTTTTAGTAGAAGTTTCAGTGTTCAAATACATTAAAAAAGATTCTGCTTCAAAACTGTAACACTTACTTTTACAAGAATTGGAATAAAACATTCATTTGCTGTATTAATTCCACATTACAGTCTAGAATTCCACACTTCCAATTTGGCGACATTTTAATGGGAAATACAGAAAAGAATAAAAACATGTGCTCTGAAAATTTATTTTACTCAACTAATATAAATATTTTTATTTAGGGTATTAAAATAACCAATGTTATAGAACATTTTGAGCTTATTAATTTATCATATACACTTGTGACATAAAAAGTTTATTAGTTTACATTTATATAATTACTATTTTCATTTAAATTTTCAAAAAGATTTGAATTTATTAGTCAAATATATTTACACTTAGATTAAAACACTTAGAAATAGTTCAATAAGTTTAAAAATTTCATTGAAACTTACATTAGTTACAATTTGTAAGAATTATTACAATATTTTTAAATAAATTTATAGTTATTATTGACCCTTTCTAAACATCAAGTGTATTGTTTATTATTTTTGTCTGATAACAAAAAAAATATTTCAGTTTTTTATAACTTAATAAACTTACTTTGTATGGGAATGACTCATAATGTACTATCTGTGAAGAATTTCTATTTTACAACTTTCGATTTAATGAGAAGTCATATTTCATTGCAATGAAAATGTGTTTCTTGTATTAGAATAAATATAGAAATTTCAAAAATTCTAATTCAATTCTTAATTGGTAACTCAACAATTTTTAAGGTATAATGATTTCAATTTTTAACTATCTAGATCTATCAATCTAGTTTCATAACCTTTTAACTACCAGCACTATAGCCAGTTGCTGGCCTCGGCTGTCTGAACCATCTTATTCCATAAACATCTAATCAACACCAGTATTCTTCATCTATTTACTCCACCACTGCTCAGCCACTTTCCCACATCTAATAAGTAGTCTACCTCTCTTCCTTTATCACTTAGGCAAGTGGGAAGTTAATTTTTTGATTAGGTTATTGTTATATCTATAGAAATGCCCAAGCAATTTCCTCTGTTTGACTTCAACTATCTTAACTATATTTGATTCTCTAAATTTATTAATTTCTACAATGTTTGTCAGAAATACATATAGAAGAATCATGGCATGATTTATGGAATATTTGACCTTTTAGACTTTTGATCAAAATGGCAGGTAGTTCATAATATTATAATTGTAAAAATATCTCTGAAATTAGTTTTCCATTCTATTGAATCTTTTGTTTTGAAATTTTAATAAGTAGGGTCCTTTTTCCCAGTTTTTGTATAACAAGAAAATTAATTGATTGTTTCAGAAAATCAAATTCCTTCAAAATGGATTAAATACGTGTTTAAAAGTTGTTGTTATATAAATTTTTATGCGTTTTTAAAACAGAAAGAGAGAGGTATGCCTTCAAAACCATGCATAAAGCCATTGAGTATAAAAAAGCAAGCCCATAAAAATTAATAAAACAAATACTATTATCATAAGTCTTTTTTGTATCCATTTAATATTATTATTATTCTATAAAAAAATATTATTTTATAAAAAAAACTTTATAAAATAATTTAATATTATTTTACAAAAATTTTTTTACACATTTAACACCATGCAAAGGTTATTCTTTAAATAATACAATGAAATGTTTTGCTATTTTCTAAAAATGTAATACGGATATAATGACATTTGATTCCATAGTGTTTCATACCTTGTGCATCATATGAATATATTTTCACAGAATCATATAGAAGTATAAACTTAATAACAAACACATTGAGATGCTTAAACAAATTATTTTTGATATTTTACAAAAAAAGTAAAGTTAATAGCAAGAAACTTTGTGTTACATCAACAATGGGCTATAATATACAAAATGTCAACAAGCTCTGTTTTTAAAGCTTTAATATTTATGAATTGATGTGATATGCTATACCTGTAATAGATGGAACAATTTTCACAGTTACTTCTTTCTGTCTATTACGAACAACTGAAAAATAGTATGAAACATTATATTTAATCTAAAAATAAAAGGGAATTGCATAAAGGGGGGGACAAAAGGAATACTTAATATATTTTTATTTACTTACTTATTGTTTCTTGTTCTAGACAACTGTCATCAGTTGGCTTCAAAATTAAAACAACGTATTGTTTTCCACCAGGAAATGTCTTTTTCTAAAAATGTGAAAAGCATTTTATAATTCTTTTTTTTTTTTTTTTTGCATATTTAAACATCTTAAAATAAAAAATATATAGACATATATAGGAATAATTATTTTATAATAAATTTCTTAAATAATTTATAAAAAGGTTATTTAAAAAAATAATAATTTTAAAACATGAATTACAAATTTAAATTTTAGTTATAACAGTTGCAACAAAAAATCAATAAAAATTAAAGAAAAGAAAAAATCATATTTCTCAAAAAATATAAAATAAGTTTCATCAAGATAAAATAAGACCAATATCTTAAAAAATATTAAGCTTTGGATACAAAAAAATGAATAAAATATAATAATAACAATAATTTTAAAAAAAAAACATTACAAAAAACCAGCTTTATTTACATAATGAAATGTGAACAACAACAAAAAAACAGAGCATAGATGTAATAAGTGTAAACTGATCAATGAAAAAATAAATTATTCATTATATTTTAATTAATTCAAGCTTTATTAAGATAGGTAATTTCCCCCTGACATTTTAAATATTCTTATTTAAGAAAGCAAGAAGCGGAAAGAAATTAAAATACTTACTGTAATAGATATACCAGATTGTTGAATTAGAGTTTGGTAATAACCTTGAGGTTCAACAGATTGAACTGAATCATATATAGGGCACTAAAATATATAAGAAACTAAACATATTACTTTGTTAGTACAACTTGCAAATTCATTTTACTACTGAAAAGCAAATTAGAAATAAACTTTAATCAAACATTCAAAATCAATGATTTAAATTATTAGATTTAAAAAAGACATTCATTTAAATCACTAAAGTAAATATGTGATTACACTTTCCATGCAATTAAATGTATTTTCAGAAGTGAGAACAAAAATGTGATTTTTTATAATAGTAAAATGCAGTAAATACTCAAATTCAATGTCAACTTTCATCTATTAATGCCATTCCAGGTAAGTTCTTGTCTATTTCTTATATAATAATCTTAATGATGCACTGGTTTTTACAGCAACCTGGAATACAAATTTTGGGAAACACACATTTCGAGAATTCCTCAACCAATGGTAAATAAATTTCTAAAGGATTTGTTTAATGATACTCATCTTTCATAACACCTCCCTTTATAACTTCCTAATTACCTTTTTTTCCAATTTTTTTTAAAGTAAACCATGAAAAATTAACACTTATTAAATAGTTTGAAATTGCCTACCTTGGAGACTGTGTTAATAGCTGTTGTGTAAAAATTGCTGGGGAAAAAGAAATATAGAAAGTAGCCATTTTTCCCAGCAATGAACAAAAAAATTATGTGAAGTTATTCCCCATTATCTGATGAGTACTATGCATTAAATGTTGTTCTTGTCATTATTTACAATTTAAAAATGGCAGGAACTATAAATTTGGCCTCATTAAAAACACAGAGCACTCTTATACACATTATGACCTCTTCTATGTATTAGAATCATCACTATTGTACCACAGAATACCAGCTCTATATTATTTCTTCCCTTACCTCAAAAACTCAATAAATTTGAATAAAAATAAAATAACAGAGGTATCATCAGCATATTTTCAATAAAAATTATTATTTTGCATTGTTTCAAAAAATGAACAAAAATTCAAAGCAACCCTAGTCAAGTACCAAATAAATGCATAAGCTTTTAAATAAAAAAATACTCAGCCAAGCAGTTCAAGTCATTTCTGGTACAAAGTTTAAAAATATCCTTTTTAGTAATAAAATGCAGTTTAAAGTTTGAAAAAAGCTTATACAAAATAAAACGATTCATGTGAAATGAGAAATTCCTGCAGAAATGAATAATAAAATTTATATTAATAATAAAATTTTGTTTTAAAACTTAAATAAATTATATGTATTCAAGTTGAAATTACATATATCAATTATCTATAATTTTAATAAAAGTAAATGGTAATAAAAATAAATTTTAATAAGTGTACTATATTGTACAACAAGTTAAGGTAATTAATAAAGTCACAAAATTGCAAAAAATGGATCAGAGCGAAATTTTTAAAGTTAAAAATTAATGATTTGATTAAATAAGCTTATGAACAATGTTAAAGTAAAATAATAAAAACTACAAGAAGGTAAAAATTTTAAACCTGTATGCTTTGAATTGCTAATAGCATGCAGTTATTATCTTTAGAGGTAGCTTCAATTCTCACAGCACGTAAATCTTCTTCCATATTATACTGCAATACATGAGGTTTAGATGGAGTGATATTCACTGTTATGGACTGATCTGTGCTACAAAGTAGTTATCATGAATTAAGTACTATTCACTTTCTATACAATTTTTTCCAAAAATTAAACGCTATATATTAAAATGAATGTTAATTATTTAATGTTATAATTATTTAATGTAATACTTATTTCATGAACATGCGCTAGAATCAGTTTTTCAAAAAAACTCTTATTTTGACTATAAATAGATACATATAAAAGCAATCTCTATAAATAATATTAAAACAGCCAAGAACTCTAAAAGAAAAAATTATTGACTTATGCACTTTTGTTAATACTGATCAATTTAAGACCTATCTCAAGTTGGCAAAAACAATTTTGGTTTTGCCACTCCATAACATTTTATGTAAAGAACATTGATATTCTATTCTTCAAAAAATCTGCAATATTTTTTTTAAAATTGTCTTATCATGGAAGGTACCCATTACTTTTTCAGAACAATATTTCAATCCCAACTTTCATTTTTTAATTAGAGAAAAAATACAAGCAGCTTAAAAAAATTAGAAGTATTTAAAGAGATCATAAACAATCTTGAATGAATGACAGCAACTTTCCCTTTTTTCAAAATACCAAAAGGCAAGAGACATGAAAAAGCAATATATACCTTATTTAAGAAAATAATTAAATGATACTAACAATTGCCTTTTGTTTAAAAAATTTATTTATTGCCAAGGCAAATATAAAAGTAAAGTAAAAAAAACAAGAAAAACACCAGTAGAGTGTAATTTCAGAGTCACCCAAAAGTGTTGTGCATCAAAGGAAGCAGTCTCAATTCATTATATCAGCCAAGTTAGAAAGAGGGAAAAAGGCTTTGGAAAAAAAAGAAATCAGCAAGAGAAAATGTTCTGATGACTTGCTAAAGAAATCAGTAAGGGAGAGAAAGAAGTTAAATTTACAACAATTAAAGACTAAAAATTTTTCTTGTTTACAAAAATTGAGTTGCACTACATTTTTCTACTTTTGTCTCATTCAAGTGAAGTTTACCACTGAAAAACAGCTTGTTATTGATATAGTTCACTAATGGAGGTGAAAGGTACACGGGCATCAGAAATGAATGTGGACTTTCAGGGACCAAAAAAAAATTTTTAATGACATACAGAAGCAGAAATTTTAGAGCCTTTTCACAATCCAACAAGATTTCTTTTAACTGAAGCTTGTAATACTCCTAAACATTCATCAACTTTCTTAAATGCGAGAAATAATATAAACAAATAAAGGATTAGGGGATTAATAAATAATCTTTGTATTGATACCCTTTGTATTGAGTCAGCACTTTGAAATAACTATTCAGTTCCTACATTCTGAGACCATAATTTACAATCATTAATTTCTGAACAACAAAATAAGAAGGATAATACGAGAATAATTCTATTATTAATATGTAAAATGAATGGGAATTATACAGGGTTCTACTGAAAATCTATATCCATACTCTTAACTTTCAAACAGTTTCAAATAAAATTACTAAATTTTATCTAGTTGTAGTAAAGAGACTATGAGCTACAAGATGTGACCACTTAGAACCCAACCCAGTTGAAAACTGCACAGTTAGAGTACTTAAAAATAGTACAAGATAAAGTAATAAAGTGAAACGCCAAGTTGTAGAGCAGCAATGTTTTGATACAGACAATTTGTGGTCATTAATGCAAAGAAAAGAACACTTAAAACAAATTGGTCAACATCATAACACAATGTAATAATCTTACAAAGAAAAACAACAGGTAGTTATCATAAGAAACCTTTATTTTTGATGTACAATCACCTCTTGAGCTTTGTACATCAAAAATAAAACTATCTTGTGATAACCAGTTGCTTTTCTTTCTTTTAAAGATGATTTTGTTATGTTAGAAAGATGTTAGACAAATGATTTTGTTATGTTAGACAAATGAAAGCTTTTTCTTGGTATTAATACTCGCAAGGTGGCTATTTGTACTAAGAGTTCTTGATTTTTTTTACTTTTTTTTAAAAAATTAAAAAAATCAGATTTTTTTTATTTAAATCAGATTTTTTTGATTTTTATTCAAATACTCTGTAAGAACTTCGATTTATGACTAAGAAAACTTTATAAATGTTTAATGAAAATTAAATTAATATTAAAACTATATTATAAGAATATTTTAGAAGCTCTAACTACCTACAACAATTTTTCATTATAATACATAGCTTTGACTGCATAGCAATCATTTTGAAACAAATGCATGATTGAAATTTAAAGACTAGATGAAAGAGAGAATTTAAAGAATGCTTTAACTATTAAAACAAAGTTTCAATTACCAAACCATAATTTTAATTTAAAACTGTGATTTCTTTTTTTTTTCTCTTGAGTTTTAAAATGACAAAATAAATGTAACAGATTGTGTTTATAAATGCAGTCATTCATCAAAAACATATATATATATATATTTAATCTATATATTTTTATATTAAAATATTCATTTTTAATCCTATATCAAAATAAATAAGTTAGCTAAACAAAATTTTAAAAAAAAATTTTGCAACTATTTAAATTTTTTTTTCTCACAAAATTACATTATAGAAAATCTGATAATGTCAAAGATATTGTAAATATATTATGAGAAAAAAAATACTTTAATGTTTACTTTAATCTGTACTTTTAATCTCAAGAACCAAAAGATTTTTAAAAATGTAATTTCAAATGTGTTGACCAGATGTGTGACAGACCACCTTGAATAGCTGAGAATAAATAATCTTTGTATTGATACCNCAAGAATCAAAAGATTTTTAAAAATGTAATTTCAAATGTGTTGGAATTTAACACATACCAAGAAAGAAAGTAATTTTGAAAACTAAAATTAATTAATGCAGCAATTACAAATTTTAAAACTAATGCAGCAATTTATTAAAAATAAATTTTAAAACTGAGAAAAGAAATAATAAAAGTATCAATAATTTAAAGCACTGTTTTTTAACTTATTAAATCAATATATACATAAAAAAAATCCGTTGATTTAAATCAATGATTTATTTTTAAAAAAATCATTTGATTTAAATCGTGATTTAAATCAATAAGCCTTGTTGTACTAAATTGATATTTTCTCTATACCTTGCAATTTACATCTTTTCCCTGTTTTTAGAGATAAGAACACTAATTCTACAGTTTTCCACCAGGTGGATCTGTAGAAGTTCTTATCTTGCAACTCGTAATCACATTACTACGCCTAGCAAGGCCGGATTAACCATTAAGCATACTAAGCACGTGCCTCACACGTAAGGGCACCAGAGGTAAGGGGAGGCACCACGAAGCATAATTAAAAAACAATTCTACTAAAAATTCTTTTTTTGACATTTTATTTCGATTGTTAAGTTCTTAACATGGTTTTAATTAAATTGATGTTATGTTATAACTATTTCAATCACGCAGACACGAAAAAGAAAGTTGTGTATTGACAGTATCCCATCACAAAATGACCAATGCTTTTTCATAACAGACCACCTTGAATAGCTGAGACCAGAAGTACAAAACTAGAGCTGGAAAGAAGCTTTGTGTGAACAAATGTAGCAAATTGATTTCCTACACTGACATGTCAAAGTCAAAGCATCCTTTTCATCTCTGAAACATCTTGGGGGCCGCTAAATCCCCCCTATACTTTTGCTTTTTTTCAGTGAAAAATACTATTTCTCTATATATGGAAGATAATGTAAGATTGAGACTTTTAAATTTTCCTTCTTTGCGGGAACTTTTGTTACAGAAAAGTGGGAGGGCAAATAAAAGAGAGGTTCCTTGACTCACCTATTCTTTAAAATCAATTACGTGATTAGGAGCTACATCAATTTTCTCATTTTCAGTGTATACTTGTTAATTTAACGTTTAAAACCTAAACAGATTTTAGAGTGCAACTCGATCTTGACTAAGTGTGTGTTTTGTTTTATAACATGTTCGAGGAGCTTAATTTTAAAAGTATAAGTCTTTTTTAAGATTTAATAATTCAACAAGGGTATAAAAAAAACAAGAATCCTCTGAGATTCTTTGAAGATATAAAAAGTAACAATTTATTTTTATTAATTTAGTTTTAACTTGTGTTCCCCCTTTCCATTTATAAATTATTGCAAATGATGTAACAACATAATGGGATTTTTATTTATCATGAGATAAGTCACTTTAATTAATTGATTTTAAATAGAATATTTCAAATGAAAATTATGTATACTTGTCAATGGAAAAATTTAATTAGATTCACAATTGATGTGGAAAAAGTAGGCATATTTAATAACGTAATATGAGTTTAATTTATTTTAGACCAAATGAATAATTTGTTTATAAAGGTGTTCTAATCCAGTTCACGTTATAATGACCAAATTTGTCATTATAACGTCATTATACTGTGCTCAAAATAAAAAGTGAACGCTCAGAATAACTTTTAATCTAATCTAATGATTGGATTTTTGCTAACTCACCCTTAATAGTTTAAAGACTTAACCTTAAATATAAATCGTTCAAATTAGTGATGACGATATTTTAAGTTATGATATCAGACACAAAAAAGTAATTTTTCAGAAAAATATATTTTTTTTCAAAAAAATATTTTTCAACAGTTTTTGTATTTTCACCCTTGAAATAGGGAAAGAGAGTGGCCGAAATCTGGAAAATATGGTCCCAATATTTTATACAGGAGAGCGTTAAAAGTTTGGATCCCTTCGTGTTAATTTTACTTTTTTTGTATTTCACCATGTCTCTGGAAATTGCTAAGCAAATCAAAAAGTTTTTGCTCACAAATATAAAATTCCTTTATCTGAATATAATTATATGTAAAATAGTAATTATTATAATGTATTTTATCTACTGAAGGGAAATTGAATTGTAAGGTATTACATTGTTAAGTATGTAATTTTAAACAAATACAAAAATTTAAATGAAATTGGTGGAATAATTCTAAAGAAATCAAAATTCAAATATCCGGCTTTTTGAAATTTGTTAACTCAGAAACTATTCGATCTATTTCGTTCAAATTTTGTAATTTAAATTACATACTTTACATACTTTAAAATGATGTAAAAACTTGTATGCGTTACAACAGAAAAATGTTTAGACTACTTTTAGAAAAAATAATTAATAATTTTAAAAATTGTTTTTAAATGAAATTATCTTTAGATTGTCAAATTTTATAATTGTGTACAAAACTCTTTAGATTCGCTTAAAAAAATTTCTCCGGATTTAGCAAAATGTGCAAAAGGTGAAATTAACATTAAAAGTTGTGAACTTTCGACTGCCTCCAGCCTAAACTATTGCGACCATATTTTTCCAGTTTGTGGTCAGCTGACATCCATATTTTGAGTATCAGAATTCCAAATCTATGGAAATTATTTTTTCAAATAAAGTACATTTTTGTGCCGGATTTTGCAATTTATTATATCATTAAAACATCGCCTACATTAATTAATTAGCACATTTAAGATTTGACTTTTGAACCTATTAAGAATGAGCCTAGTGTGCAAAAATCCAATCATTTAAATGAAAAGTTACTTGGGGTGTTCATTTTTTTATTTTGTGGACACCCTTTTTCAGAAAATATTGTATAAATTTTCAAAATCTTTTTTTTTCCCTTCATGTTATAGTACATGATTTTATAAGTTTTTATAATTAAATAAAATATTGAATTCATTTGTTGTATTTTTCCTATTACAAAACATTACGATTAAGTTTTTAATTAAAACTCCTTTTTAAAAAAAAAGTTCAAATTCGACATTATTTTTAAGTTAAAATATGCATCAAAACATTTTGAGTATAATTAAAACCAGTTTAGCATAAATTGAAAAAAGGTTGCTCAAAGACAGCTATTTTAACAAGCTGATAATTTGTCCATATTTTAATAACTTTCATTTTAATGACTCTATATGTTAATAACTTTTTAAATTACTTTAATAGTAATGCTTTCTGAAGGCCTATGCTTCATTTAAATAGAAAGCATAGGAAACAGATTAAAAAATAGTTGTAATACTGAATAGCGGAGTTCACTGTTAAAATGAAAATTAATAACCAGTCTTAGTTATGTATTAAAACATTCAGACGTTTAGAAAACATTAAACGTTATATATTAAAACATTGTATTAAAACATTAGCTTATGTATTAAAACATTTCTAATCCTCTTTAAAATCATAATTGAAAAAAATAAAACTTCTCAAAATAATATTATATTATTTAAGCATATCAAAGATATCAAAAACTATAAAAAAATACTAGTTAATTGATTAACCTATTCTGTATCAGTGCAATTGGTTGGTTACAGTTGTTATTTAAATTTAACTGATTTAAAATCTTCTATTAGAGTGAGAAAAGGCAACTTTTCTAATTAAGTACAACTAAATATCCAGTCGTTTGCATATGGTCTGCTACTTATTACAATCATTTTAAAATATTTGCGTTTAAACATTTACTGTGCTGTGACCAGACTGACAATAAAAATAAATAAAACTGATAGATTTTTCTCGTTAAGCTGCTTCTTAGACTATTTGTGAATCTACAGTAAAATTAGTGTTCAATACAATTTAATATGAAAGCATATTGTGCGTTATAAAATAATTACACTATCACTTATATACAAACTCATTTTCAGTTGTTAATTTTCACAAACATGAAATCAAAGTGAAGTAACCTATAACGGTTTAATTATAAATTAAATTTATAATTAATTCAGAACTTTAAATTGTTTTACATTAAACATATTAAATGTATAGGATATTTTTGATTGATTGTTATAAATAAAATGATAATGTAAAATAAAGTTTTAAACGCTACATTTTCAAAGGAGTGGAAATAAACTGATTTTGTCACAAAAAGCGAAATAATTCCATTAATAATAATAATAAAAGCCGTAAATAATAAGAAATCTTTTATAAATTCATGGAGAACTGTCACAGGTTTCTCAACATTCTAAGAGCTAAGAAAAGAGTTGTTTGTTATTTTTATTGATTATTAATTTTGTTTATATACTCAATTGAGCTTTTGTATGTTTTTGTATTCTCCATAAAAATTGTTTCAAGTTTGATAATTTTTTTTATGTGAATATTAACTTGACACCCACAGTGAAAATGTTTTTAGCAAAAATTTAAAAAGCATATTCGAAAACATTACATAACACCCGGAAAGTTTGAATAAAAAATTAGGTTATAATTATCATTAGGTTAGGTTATATTATTAGGTTAGGTTATAAAATTAGGTTAGGAATTAAAATGAAAAAAGAAGAAAAAGTTTGTGGATCAGGAAATCTTTTTAAAAATGAAATACCAGGAATGTGAAATTACTTTAATTTTGTTCTAAAATCGAAGAATAAATGATTAGCCTTGAAAAACTTTCAAAGAGTTAATTGAAAAATTTTGATTTCCACTAGGCTCTCTGCACAAAGTGTTAATTTTGGCAGCTACATAAATTTATTTATTTTTGTAAACTTACTTCAGTTTTATTTAAGAAAAATATTTTTTTAAATTTATATTGATCTTCTTAATCACGTTTAAGGAGCATCCAAAAACGTAAGTGCTTAGGGCATCTGAGGTTCTTAATCTGGCCTTGACGCCTAGACATTAGTGTATAACTATAGTTGCAATGGTAAGAAAGTAAAAGGGTGAATAAAGATTTTAGCATGCACCTAGCATAACCAACTTTGGTATGCAATATACCTTAAAGAAATAAAATATTTAACATATGTTTCTTACATACATTACAACAACATAAAAAAACCTTTTTCTATGAAAAATCAAGTAAGCTGGGAAAAAAAGGCAAAATGTTGCAAAATGATCGAAAATATGAAACAAAAATTAAAACATGAAAATACATTAAGAAAAATACAAAGATAGATGGAAATAATTGAAACAACACATAAAAAAGTAATAAATAAATAATATTATATTTATAGAAGTTACATAAACAAATGTTCTGACAATTCCCTATCCTGTGTACGTGTACAACATCTTTTAAAAATTTTAAAATATTGCAACTAATTAACAAAATTCATTGATTGTTTTGAAAAACAAACAAAAAAATACAACAGTAAAAATTAATCACACTATGTTGCAACAAATTTAAATTAATACAATCAGAGTGTAATTACCTTATTATAAAGTTGTCAATGACACCAAGCCTCATAACAAAATCAATCGGCAAGTCTTGACTGCTTGTTGATATTTCAATCGAAATATTTTGAGGCCCAGGTTGTAAAAGAGGATCTCTGAAGTTAGATAAGGGACACAGAGTCTTACATACTTCAGAGTAAGAGCTAAAAATTTAAGTTAAATAATTAATTTTTGATGAAAAACAGTAAAATTTATAATGATTAAGAATTATGGCTGAACATATAATACCTATGCACATCAAAATCTATGATTTTAGTAAATAGATATAGTATCACTATTTCTTGTAAATGTTTAACGTTGTCTCCAAAAAAAGTTAAACTTATTCAGGAGTAGTTTGATCAAATGTAGATGACAAAAATGAAAAACATATTATTGATAATACAGAAAAATACCATTTACCTTATAAAAAAATCGGTACATTAAGAATAAGTTTTGACTTAAAAATTTAGTTTTTATAAGCTAAGTTGCAATCTTAATTTGAGGGGTATACCTAAGATTTTCTAAATTACTACAAAATTATTAAGAAATAAACAACAAACTAAATTTATTGTGAGCTAATGTAAGAAGACATAAGTAATTGTGAGAGAAGAGAAGGACATGACTTGGGAAATTCATATTAAGGTGTGACTTGGAGTATTGCTAGAGGTGTTCACTAGGGTGGTTCAAAATTTTGAAAGTGAAAATGCTTTGGGTTCTACCCTCCTATTTTGTTCCAAAGAGAAAAAAATCAATCACAAATGTTTTCAAATCACAAAATTTGAAAACATTTTAATATTAAGAAGTACCTCAATGCAGGTCAAGTTGGCATCATTGCAAAACAGTCTGTTGTAAAAAAGAAAAAAAAAACTAAACACAGATAAAGTTGCCATTTTAGAAATAGATGCTGCTTTTGGAATTATAATATGAACGTATTTGGGCATAACTCAAAGTTTTATAATTATTTAAACTCATGATAGAATATTTAATAGTTAGGAATAAATTTGTTTGTCATAAACTTGTCATTTGTTAAAAATTAATTTTCTGTGAATCCCTTCAAGTTTTTTCCACATGAACATCAGAGAGTCCAACTTTTTAATAATTTTACAGCACGAAATATTAAGTTTAAAGAAAAATTCATAAATTGCTACAGAATTTTTAAGCTTTATAAGAAACATGAAAATAATATAGAATAGTCCAAATGCAACAACTTGTATTTTGAAAAAACTGAATCTCTGCTCTCAGAATGTAATTGAAATAATAATAAATAAAAAAAACGTGATACCAAATATTAGTTAGGAGAGTTAATAAGGAGTCATAAGTAAATAAGGATAAAATTAGTTAGGAGAGTTAGCCACTAAAAATTAGTTAGGTTTAGATTTGCTCATGTTACTTTTAATTTTTGCATCCACCTTAATATTTTCCACTCTCAAAATGATTGGGCGAATAAAATAGTGCAAGCAAATTAAAATCGTTTATCCAAAAATAATTTTCAACTTAACAAAAAATAATTTTAACATTCTTTTATTATTCAACTCAATAATGATAGTAAAAATTTTGAATAGTAAAATACAGAAAATTCTACATCACATTAAATTATGTAACTTATCTGCCAAAATATAAAGTTCTAAATAAACCAAATAAATAGTCCCACAGAAAGGACAAATAATAATAAAACGTTTAAAAATAAGTTTTTCATAATTTAGTATGCGTGAAACCATGTCTTGTGTACATAAAGAATGCAAAGAATTCATTCTGAGAACATTATCTTCAGTTTCCATGTTTTAGATTATGCATCAAGAAAAAATCTAATTTCACTAATAAAAACAATTGCACAAACAAAGATATTCCAAATACATTTTGATTTCACTGTTTCAAACAAGATTGCCTATAAAGCAAAACATTCAAGTAAACGTAATAAATTATGTAACCTTATCTGCCAAAATACAAAGTTTGAATTAAACCAAATAAGCAGTCCCATAGAAAGAACAATCAATAATACAGCTTTTAAAAATAAGTTTTTTATAACTTAGTATGCATGAAGAAACGTCGTGTGTTTTTAAATAATACAAATAATTTATTCTGAGAATATAATCGTCAGTAGCCATGTTTTAGATTATGCATCAAGAAAAAAAACAAATTTCAGAAATAAAAACAATTACATATAAGATAATAAGATAAGATATAGGATAAAATATCCCAAATACATATTTTGATTTCACTATTCCTAACAAGATTGCCTTTAAAGTAAAACATTCAAGTAAATGTGATAAAAAGTACAATGTAAGAAAATCATGCAAAGATATGTTAAAAAATGTTACCTAGCATTTGGAAATGCAAGTGGTACCTGGAATGACATAACACTTAAACTTTCTCTCACAACAATAAACAAAGGCGAAGAAACAATTGCAGTGTAGCTTGTAACACACAAATTAACAGTCCAATTCTATTAATAGAAAAGAAAATATTTAAATTATATAAAAAGAATTATATTTTCTGCAAAAAAATCTTAAAATTAGAGTAAATACTAAAACATTTTTATAATATATATTGCCTATGAAATTCAAATATTTGATTGATTGAAACATTTTCCTTTCACTAATTTTTGCCTCAAAAAAAATTGAGTTTATTCCAATTGCAGTGACATCATCAGTTATTTATTACTTTTAAATTCTTTAAATCACTAATTAAGTATCTTTTGAACAAAACTCATGTTGCATTATATATATCAGCAACACACAGGCAGAAATTATCTCCCTGGTATTAAAAAAAAATCTATGCAAGAGATCAAATTTTAAAAAAGAATTTTGTTAGTTAAATCATTTCTTAATCACTTAATTTTTTTAATCACTTTTGATGACTGCATGTCAAATGCAGTCATCAAAATGACATGCAGTCATCACCCAGTGGCAGAATCGCGACAACGAGACATCGTTGCAGAACGTTTACACAATAATTTTTCATTTAAGATGTAAAAAAGTTTGGTTTTCTTTTCAGTCCGAGTGTTGTTATGACAAAAATTGTTCTGTAAAAAACTTTTCTGCAGAATTGCTTTAAAAAATAGCTTTTCTTATGTAATGGAAGAGAAAGAACGCTCATGACATTCAACAACCTTCAAACGGGAACCTTAAATTGAAATCAGCAACTTCTAGCAATGTTGGAACAGGTATGTGATTTCTCCGGCACTTCGCAGAAGATGACATATCTCAAGACCTTTGTTTTGTGAATTTCTGCGGTTCAAAAATTTATATTTCATTAAAATTTTAGCAATCTGCAAATTTTCGCAATCAACAAGATTTCGAAAGTTCTCAAGTTTCGAACTTAAGTTTCGAAACTTGAGATCCTGTTTACTAGACGTTTATTCCTTCATCTAAAATCCCTGTTTTTTTTCTGACAGAGCTCTTGTCAAATTTATTTCGCAAGCGCTATGCCAAGTTTTTTCAACAGATATGTAAAAGCAAAACGTAACTTCAACTTAATTACAAGAACACAAGACTCAAAGAAAAGTTCTAAAATGACTGGCTCTGACTAGAATTACTCAATTATCGCGAACAAAAACAAACTTATAAAATTGATGACGTTTAAAAGTGTTTTCTTTGTTTTATTAAACTTACATTTTGATTAAAAACGAAATAAGACTAATTTTATATATATATACANCAACCATCAACGGGATTTGCACTTTAAAAAAATATAATTAGACAGGGTTGGAAAGTTTTTGACAATTGACGGTTTTGTCTGGTTTTAATCGTCATGACAACAAAAAAAAAACTTTTGGCATTTTTTTTNCCTTTTGGTATTTTTTTTGACAATTGTCAAAATTTTTGAATCATGTAAATCGAATGGCGTTGTCATACGTTACGGACTGACTATGCACCGAAATAGATTGGGATTGTGAAAACGTTGAAATAATTGCAAAAACGTTGAATAAAACAATGTAAACAGTGTCTTTCTGCATAATTCGTAGCGAAAATCAACATGGTAAATGAAAAATCTCACTTAGGAAAGGGGAAAATTAAGCAATTTTTAAAAACGCCCAATGAAACAAGCACCTTTAAGGGCTTTTAAAAAACGAAAATAAGCAACTTAAAGCACTTTTCAAAAACGATACGCACCCTGCTTACATGCAATTTATACTTTCTTTACTTTCCTAAATAAATAAGTACATCTACGAAGTGGTTATAATTAAAATTTCAATTTCAAAAGGTACAGCAGTGGACTGATCGAAAAGACACGGTTCCCAGTAGAACACCGAAGTCAAGCATC